TAAGGAAAATGCAACGAAATAGAAGTTTTAAAGGCGTCCTTATAGCAAATTCTCAAACTGCCTCCGTAACCCCTACTCTGTATGTTCATCACACCGTGATGACCCGCCACTCTCTTATAGTTTCTCCTCGCTAACTCCCTCTGCAACAATATGCCTATGCGACAGGCCTATGCAGCAGTAGACCAATTTAACAATAGCCTTGTACATCAATAGACCTACTCAAGGATAAGCTTATACGATAGACATATCAATATCCATGTTCAACAATAGATCTGTGGCACAATAGACCTATGGAACAATATATCAATGCATCAATAACCTTAGGCAACAATAGACCTATGCAGTAAGAGACATGATTTTGCTTAGTTAACGCATGTTCATGTCTCTGAACCATACAAGCGTTACGACTGTCATGTTTCAAACCCTTAATTTTTCCTACATAAATGAACTTCGTTATTTCCACAGATGACTCAACATTATTCCAACCATTTTTTTCGCTTTATTTGTTCTATGGTTCTCCTGGTGTTTTATAGACTCCTCTGCTGACATGTCCACTGCCAAGTATCTGGACGTATCCTATTCCTTCACACTCCCTCCCTCCCTCTTCCTTCAGTCTTGCTATCATTACAAATGCTCTTCGTCACCCTCATCACCTTCCTTTTTTCTATATTCATTTTTAATTTCCTACTTTTACCTAACGTCACAAGTTCGTCCACCAACCTTCGTATAACTGTCTTCAGAATGTCCGAAAAGATAAGTCGTCAGCAAAGAACAACCGTGACAATTCCTGCTTCGTGTTAAAAACAACCACTTTTAAACCCACAACTCTCCCCAACACCTTTCACCTCTACATCTCCATCTATAAATATGTGAAATAGCGATGGCAACTTCCTGTATTCCTGTCTAAATCTGACTTTTCGCTGGGAACTAGTCCTGCCACTTACATACCCTAACCTGAACCTCGTTACCATTATAAAAACTCTTAATAGCTTTTAGCGCCAGCAACATCTTCCACACGGCTCCTCTAAGCACCCAATTATATGTTCTACCCAAATCCATAAATGCATCAAATAGCTCTTCACCTTTACTCAAGTTTCTGGAGACGAGACGTGTGAAGAAGATAGAGATTCTGGAAGGTATTAAGTGAACGTTAAGGGAGTTAAACCAAGTGAGACAATAACTGTTGTGGGTTTGGTATTTGCTAACACTTATTCAGAGATAAATGGGAGTTTGTTAGACCATGTATTAAAAAGCAAATGTTAATGGGTACACTTTTAGATGTACAGGTATGTTTGATGATTAGTGGTAGCAACAGTAAGAGGTAAATGGAGGGAAAGAGAGAAATGAAAAATATGAATATAAGAAGAACACACACACACACACACACATATATATATATATATATATATATATATATATATATATATATATATATATATATATATATATATATATATATATATATATATATTATATATATATACACATGTATATATATTATTAATGTCGTTCCAAATGGGTAAAATTGGTTAATTAGCAAGAATTCATTTAAAATTAAGTCCTTTCTTAAATTTTCTCGTATACGTTTAAAGATATATTTTTTCACTTATGTCAATGTAAAAATTAATAATTTTGTACCAAAAGAATCTTTAGAAAACTTACCTAACCTTATTATAACAAGCGCAATTTAATTTAGCTTAATCCAGCTAAATATATTTTAGATAAGTTTGCAATACTTTAATAATAAACAATGTCAGATATATTTTTTTCGTTAGGCTCAGAAAGATTTTTGCGAAATTATTGCATACACAAATTTTCGTTTGCCTTATTCAGCAAGAAAAGCGTTGCTACTTAAGCCAAAATCGCAAGTTTTACCTATTCGGCACTACCTAATTACTAATAAGGATAATGCTTTAAAAATCATTGATTTGTGACCAGAAAGATGACGGTCTGATACTAACGGAAAGTAGAACACAAGAGGCGAGATATTCACAGGGAACCTGAGCCCTACACTAGAACATAAATGCCGTAAATTTTTATTATTATTATTAACACACTGGCCGATTCCCACCAAGGCAGGGTGGCCCGAAAAAGAAAAACTTTCACCATCATTCACTCCATCACTGTCTTGCCAGAAGGGTGTTTTACACTACAGTTTTTAAACTGCAACATTAACACCCCTCCTTCAGAGTGCAGGCACTGTACTTCCCATCTCCAGGACTCAAGTCCGGCCTGACGGTTTCCCTGAATCCCTTCATAAATGTTACTTTGTTCACACTCCAACAGCACGCTAAGCATTAAAAACCATTTGTCTCCATTCACTCCTATCAAACACGCTCACGTATGCTGGAAATCCAAGCCCCTCGCACACAAAACCTCCTTTACCCCCTCCAACCTTTCCTAGGCCGACCCCTACCCCGCCTTCCTTCCTCTACAGATTGATACACTCTTGAAGTAATTCTGTTTCGTTCCATTCTCTCTACATGTCCGAACCACCTCAACAACCCTTCCACAGCCGTCTGGACAACAGTTTTGGTAATCCCGCACCTCCTCCTAACTTCCAAACTACGAATTCTCTGCATTATATTCACACCACACATTGCTCTCAGACATGACATCTCCACTGCCTCCAACCTTATCCTCGCTGCAACATTCATCACCCATGCTTCACACCCATACAGGAGTGTTGGTAAAACTATACTCTCATACATTCCCCTCTTTGCTTCCAAGGACAAAGTTCTTCGTCTCCACAGACTCCTAAGTGCACCACTCACCCTTTTCCCCTCATCAATTCTATGATTCACCTCATCTTTCATAGACCCATCCGCTGACACGTCCACTCCCAAATATCGGAATACATTCACCTCCTCCATACCCTCTCCCTCCAATCTGATATCCAATCTTTCATCACCTAATCTTTTTGTTATCCTCATAACCTTACTCTTTCCTGTATTCACTTTTAATATTCTTCTTTTACATACAATACCAAATTCATCCACCAACCTCTGCAACTTCTCTTCTCACTGTAAAATGGAAAGAAGCCAACGTCACACAAAACCAATTACCTTTTCAAGAGGAAAATAATTGAGTCAGCATTGACTGAATCCACAGTAAACATTAACTTAAAACGACAATGTGGACTTTATACTACTGCCATAGTTACCCCGGAAAAAAACAGTCAAATACCAAGCCTTACAGCAGTAGGTTAGCGACAGCTGTAAAAAGGAAATCCTATCCAACGGATCTCAAAATATTTCTCTTCCAGGGAATACAACATCTGATTAGATTTGTATAGTGGCGACAACACCTGACCATCGTCATCTGTCTTAAAATACTAATCTCAAAACAACCATCTTATATCAATCTCTTGTTTCAAAACCGAGCAATAGATGAGACTTAAGCTTAGTTGCTCTTAGCTAGGTTAATCTAACTCGCGTCTTACTACTCGCGCACCTGCCCAGCTGCAATCTCGGTTTTACCAGTTAGTTCCACTTGTGTATAGTTTTATTGTCCTGTCAGTGTTTTCCTAACCTGACTCTTATCCCCTAGATAATAGACCAATTCACTTCTTATATCTGCTGAAGATGGTCCTACGCTCTCTTCTATGTATTTTTATTGTTTACGTGTAGGTCAGCTTTCAACAAGTGTGTTACACACACACACACACACACACATATACTTGCACGCAAGACACAGTGAAGTCAACGGAATCATAAAGAGAACCCTTGCTACAGCTGGATTTCCAGCCGAGAGAGAGCCCCGATCACTAGCAGCCAGCAGTACCCACAACCCATCAAATCGCCGAGACGGAATCACCATCTATCCTTGGAAGAATGGCAGGCTCTTAGCATGGGAATTCCTGTGTGTCGACGCTGGCTGACACCTACATCCATCACAGTGTCGGGCGACAGGGAGAGCTCCTGATTACAGGGAGGAGTACAAGATCGGCAAATACAGAAGCATAAGCCAACGGTATCAATTTGTCCCAGTGGGATCAGAGACCATGGGACTATGGGGAAAAATGCCACACGTTTAGTTAAAGAACTGGGTTCCAGATACATCGACACCACCAGGGACCCAAGGGCAGTCACTTTCATGTTCTGGCGCTTCAGCGTGGCCATCCAGAGGGGGAAATGCTTGCTGCATACTGGGCTTGCGTCCGGCTTCATAGGAGCTGGAGTGGATTCGTAATCTTTGATACATTGTACCACTGTATTCATGCTTGTGTTTCAGCTCCATGGGAGAGTCTTAAGTTTCTCCTGAGGTACGTTTATTGTCTTTTCTGAGGATGAGGGTCCCCAGTCCAGTTCTAGAGGTAGTACCTCCCTGTGTGTGTATATACATATATATATATATATATATATATATATATATATATATATATATATATATATATATATATATATATATAATCAGTAACTGTGCTAGCCAAGGATTCGAACCCATGTTGTAGTGGCCCGCCATTGTGAGCGAGAACCACATGATGCCTTAATCCACAGAACCACCCAATCCTACAAGAACCAAGCACCCAGCAAAGCTATGTGTTTTACCTTGGTCCGAGGACTTACGGAGGTGTTATTGATCAATACCACTCGTCCGTGGTTACAATAATATATATCTGCTCGTAGGCTAGTACATCAAACAGGAACGAGAATGAAATTAGCTTGAAAGCTCCCACACCTCCGTATGTCTTCAGATCAAGGTATAAAACAGCTCTGCTGTGTGCTTGGTTCTTGTAGGATTGGGTGGTCCTGTGGGTTAAGGCGTCATGTGATTCTCGCTCACATTGGCTGACCACTACAACATGGGTTCGAATCCTTGGCTAGCGCAGTGTTGTTACTGACCAATACCACTCGTTCGTATTTACAATAATATATATATAATTAAAACGTAACAATTACAACTTTTTCGAAGAACGAGGAGTTGTGAAGACTTAAACTGTTTGTAATAAATCTGTTTTTAAACTTGTATTAACTGCTTGGAAACATGTTTGCAGGTGTGTCACGGAAGACGCAGATGTTCCAAGTGCGGCCATCAAGCGTACAAGTGATGACTGGGGAGGACGTAGTGTTGAGATGTGTCGTGGCTAACCAGCAAGGGAAGGCACAGTGGACCAAGGATGGCTTCGCTCTAGGTTGGTTCTTAATATCCTTTGTAACAATCATCTGAATTATTAAGTGTCGTGATAAATGAAACTCTTGTGTAAAATTCGGGTATATACTGGAAAAGTTTCGCTAGCCGGTGGCTTCTTCAGTCCAATGTAGTGAAAGGTAGGAGATGAGGAGTTTGAGGTGATCAGTCCCTCAGTCTGGAGTCGGTATGTTCAGTCCTTTAGACTTGACTCAGGCTGAACACGCCAACTTGATTGTTACTAAGAGAAAAGCTTTAAATGGTTGCAGCTGCATTGGTTCCATTTTGGCTTTTCAAGGAACTGGGTAAAGTCTTTATGCTATAATTTCTGAGCGCCTCATCCGATTAACGTATTACCTTCAACTTGTTAATGAACTTCTAAGCAGACTCAAGCTTAATGTTCTGGAAAGTAAATGACTCTTCAATTTTGCTTCCAGGCTGGTGTTTCTTAGTTTTAGTTTTGGACTTTGTCCTGTTTTGTTATTTTTGTTGATATTGGAATATTAGCTTTCACTGGATAACCGTTGGCATATTTTTCTCCTTGCTAGAAGGGTAATCGGTACTTACTAGAGATAGTCAGTAACTTTACATAAAAATGTTGGTACCAATTCCAGACAAAATTACGCGAGGGTATCTTTTTGCATCGCACTGGCTCTCGTGTTCTCTTGTCTGACAGTGGCACAGAATTTATCAGTGCGATTATAAAAAATATTTACTTTATGTTGGTATCTAACTCCTGTGGCTCCATACTATCTCGCCAGCACTGAATTAGCCAAGCTAACAATACGCAAGAAACTTGATTTCTTACATACGATGGTCAACGCATCCAACATGGTGGTCAACTGGAGGGGATCCGCACTTCACATTGCGCTAATGCGACAAGCGACTGCCAAATGAGATCTTGTTTTCTAGGCCGCGATCTCTGTTTCCCAGTCGATGGCGGCAAAGTCATGATGCATGACTGCTTAGATTTCAGTGTGCCCACGAAAACAAGAAAGTAACCGAAGCTGTTGTTAGGTTAGGTTGTTGTTATTTCACGCTCCAGAAACAGGCAGGATCCAGGTCATCAAGCACCTCCATGACAACAAGTATAAAGTGAAGGAATCAAAAAGGCAGCTTAACTTAGGCTACATGAAGTTTGTGGATATTAATCAGCCCAAAGCTGCAGTTGTGGAAGCTGTGTTGAGATAGAACGTTCAGTCTAGAGATGTTTCTGTTTGTTAGGTAAAAGGGACACATGAGACACTTTATTGTGGCAACATTTCGCTCTCCGGAAGCTTTGTCATATCGTAACGTAACGGCTTGACAAAGCTCCTGGAAAGCGAAACGAGGCCACAATAAAATGCCGAATTAGTTGCACATGTGTCCTTTTACTTAACATATTGTCGGTAATACTTCAAGGATTATTACGTGCTTTTGTTTGCAGGGCCTCAATTTCCGCCTTTGTTTCCACTTCCACTCCTGATGCTTCAGACCCTCGTCTCCCTGTCCAACATTCACCTGATCTCCAGAACAGAATAATCACACATTTTTGCTCGTAACGTAGACCCTTACGTCTCTGATATGAAGTACGATAATTACGCCTTAGAGTAACATGTCCATGTTCACGTATCAGAGAGGAGATAATTGCACTAATATGCAAAATTTGTAAACAACTTTGTTCAGTTGTCATGTGCTAGTATTTATTTGAAGCATTGTAGAAACGTAATTTGTTCCTTCAGGCCAGAGCAACAGAACATCCCCTAGTGTCACACCACATCAGTAGCTGCTGCTACAAATGTGTGAATTGTCCATCGCCTCTTCATTTATGGACAGTCCCTGATGCGGTATGGGGAGCCTGACGAGCATCTCTGCACAAGCGAGTAGCCTACAGTATGCTCGCTAACTCTGCAGAGTACTTCATCGCCAGAGCTGTTTCTCTGCAACCAGAATCACCAGCATCGCTCAGGACCCTAATCGCCTGAGTCGTCCCAGTTGATGGTTCCTTCATCAACGACATTCCCTGTCACGACCCAGCCATATTTGCTGGCACTACCTAAATTTGCCGTTCAAGTTGTCCCAGAATATAGCAGCTGTGCTGCTCAGCTGCACTGCACCGTCCAGAACTGTTCTTCCAGCTTTCCGTCCTGCTTTGCCGCGTCGTCGCAGCGGCTGTAATTCCTCACCTTTAACATATTCCTTTTAATTCTTTCATACGTGTGGGTGCTTTTGTACAGATACAAGTATACTAATTTTCTTGGCCATAAGAAGAAAAACTATACCATGGCCACGGGCCATGAGAGGGATGGCTAATGTTTCACTGTGAAACTAGCTGGGTCGGGTCGATTCATCATAGCTTGGTTAAGCAGACGTAAACCGATCTTTGGTGGCTGCTGCTCGTTACTTTTTTCCTAGCCCAGCTCAGAGTGCGTCCACCTAAAGATGAACTCATTTTCACGTAGCCTGGATCAGCTAGTTGCACGTTAGTTCAGCCTTAATGATCCTCGCTTCCATTTAAAATCAACATATCAAGTCCCCCTCTCGTGTACCTTGCTTGGTCTGATACACTTCCTTGACATGCATTGCCTGGTCTAAGTTTCCAAATAAACTCGAGGCGCACGAGCCTGTGTTTACCTCCAGAAGCTCATTTGTTTGTCCAACCACCAAACTAATACATTCATGACAGTTGTGGATCATTATTTCATCACTTTTGTGTATGTGTATTTGCTACAACTAAAATTCGTCCCTTATCAGAATTACAAAATCGGTCTTTATGCTATCTTTAAAAAAAAAAAAAAGTAACGAAGCTCATGATTTCCATCGTGTTCCTTTTAAGCTTGACTTAATTATATTTACGTAGCTAAGTAAAATTTCTGGATAAAATAGCAGAGACTAAAATACTGTTTCCGTATGCAGCGTGTGAAGCGTCAGTCAGTACAGTGTTGACGCTACACTAACGTCCTCTCTCAGGATGTTCTGTTGATACACCGTCGGGGCTTCGCTTTTTGTGCCTTTCATAAAATAAGCAGCTGAGAATGTTTTCCTTGCGTCGAGAAAAAATGGGGCGGGGTTTTTTTATTCCCCTGGAGAAATGGTGAAATGACAAAAACCACTTAAAAGTGAGTGTGTGTTTGAGTTAGTGAGAGAGAACAAAATTTCCTTGTTGCTCTAAAAAGCAAGTTTTGCTACTGAAGAAACACGAATTTTTGACGACCAAAAACCTGCACTGTGTACGCACTGAGCGGTAAATTCTGCTTAGTTTGGACACTGAAAACATATTTTATAATAAACTGACTTAATTTTGTTAGTTTAAATATCCAGTTTAAGGTCGCTCTGCTTGTGTAAAAATTTGACCATCATAACATTGCTTGGAGAGCCAATTACTGTACTTTTAAAATGCATTTTTTCTCGTTTACAATGAAAAAAGATTGACTTTTCTGAAGATTGAATTGACTAACACAACACTTGTCTTAATTATGGAATTTGTATTTTGTTCGGGTTATGTTGAAAGAGCATAACTCAGTATTATACATAGAGTCTGTTATACACGGAGAAATTAGGTCAGTTTTGCCCCAGGATGCGACTCACACCCGGGTACCCATTTTGCTGATGGGTGAACATAGACACCCGGTGTAAGGAAACACCTCTTCGCCGGGAATCGAACCCGGACCCTCACCGTGTGAAGCGAGAGTTTTTGCCTCCAGGCCACGAGTCACGGATGATCTTTTACTGGTAAAATAATAAGGAAAGATAAATGTAACTAACAGACAGAGCATAAACGTTCTCCATACGTAAACATTGATTCACTATTAAAAATATTGGTAAATGTTTAAATATATCTCACTGAGAAAACTCAAATGTGGACGATAACTTGGCTAGATCTTGTTAGGTACAGCGAGGTAAGGTAGTGTGGATTTCTGGCTAAATTTAAATATCAACAGCGCACATAAATAGCTTCACTAAATATACAATTACCACCACTAGCACCATCAACACCACCACCAGCACCATCAACACCAGCAGCACCATCAACACCACCACCAGCACCATCAACACCACCAGTAGCACCATCAACACCACCAGCAGCACCATCAACACCACCAGCAGCACCATCAACACCGCCAGCAGCACCATCAACACCACACCAGTACCATCAACACCACCAGCAGCACCATCAACACCACCACCAGCACCATCAACACCAGCACCATCAACACCAGCACCATCACCACCACCACCAGCACCACCACCACCAGCACCACCACCACCAGCACCACCACCACCAGCACCACCAGCACATATCGCCACCACCACCAGCACCATCAACACCACCACCATCAACACCACCAGCAGCACCATCGACACCATCAACACCACAGTACCATCACCTCCCATCACCAATACCAATAAAAAGATCACTGTTACCATTACCACTGAAAACAATACCACCATCACTCCAACATAATACCATTATCCATCACCACTCCAACATTAATACCAATATCCATTACCACCCCAACATAGCACCATTATCCACCACCACTAACAGTATCACCACCAGCACCAATACACACACCTCTTACACCGGAATCACTATCACCTCCCATAATCACCAGCATTACGAATATCACCATTGCTCCCTCACTGCATTACCATCCCCGCCAGTACGACATGTAAAATTAACACCACAAACGACTCCAATATAAAAACTACCCATATCAACACCAATTTAACTGTGAATGTAACTACTATCAATACTGTTAATACGTTCACCCAGTGATTGGCAATAACTGTGTGTACTCACCTAGTTGAGGTTGCTGGGGTCGAGTCCAAGCTCCTGGCCCCGTGTGTGTGTGTGTGTGTGTGTGTGTGTGTGTGTGTGTGGGTGTGTGTTCGCCTAATTGTGGTTGCAGGGTTCGATTCACAGGTCCTGACCCCGCCTCTTCACTGATCGCCACTAGGCCTGCTCTCCCTGCTCCATGAGCTTTATCATACCTCTTCTTAAAACTGTGTATGGTACCTGCC